CCCGGACTGGGGCATGAACCCGCGTCCCCTGCATTGGCAGGCGGACTCCCAACCACTGCGCCACCAGGGAAGCCCTGCAGCTAATATTTTGAGCCCCATTATTTAATTTAATCTTTGCAACTCTGTGAGATGGATATAATTACCCCCATTTTACAGATGGGCAATCCAAGGAACAGAGAAGCTAAGTAACTTGCCCAAGGTCACAAGATAAGTGGTGGCAGTACATAGAGCAGGTAGACAGATTTGAGAACTACTTAGGAGGTGGTATGTCATAAGACTATTTATTGAAGACTAATTATTCAACTAATTTTCATTATTGATTTTGGGAAGGTGGCTAAAGGAGAAGTTTTCAAGTATGATATGCAAGTTTCTAGCTTGGACGACTAGGCCATGACTGAGTTAGGAAATAACATGAGAAGCAGGTGAGGGGGGACGGTGATAGAACAAAGTGGTAAATTCAGTTTGGGGTCTGCCTGGGTAATTTCCAAGTGGAGACATGTACAGGGCAGCCGCAGGGGCTGGTGTGAAATTCAAAGTGAGATTTTGATGTTATCAGCCTCAGTCTCTGCCAGAGGGGAAAAAAAGCACCTTTGAAGAAGCTGAAAATGATACAAACTTGGAATATGAAGCATTTGGGAAAACAGATAATACAATGGGATTCACCATGAAACCGTTTTAGGTCATTACAGGGTAATTTTCTTCTATTCATTTTACTCAATTGTTTTTCACTAACAACTTTTTATTTTCTCCAGTCCTTTTCTCTCCACTAATTTTCTCCCCTTTGCCTATTCACATATCACAGTGTTCTCTGTCCTTAAACGAAAACCTTTTCCATTGCTTTATTTCCAGGACTTATTCCTTACTTCTTTTCATACAGTCTTATCTCTCATCTTCATAAAAAGTTTGAAGTAATTTCAACTGGCTGCTTCTGATTCCTTATCTTCCATCTTTTTTTTTTTTTTTTTTTACATCTTTATTGGAGTATAACTGCTTTACAATGTTTTAAGTTTTTTTTTTTTTTGATGTGGGCCATTTTTTAAAATCTTTATTGAATTTGTTACACTATTGCTCCTGTTTTATATTTTGGTGTTTTGGCCGCGAGGCATGTGGGATCTTAGTTCCCCAACTAGGGCTCGGCCCACACCCCCTGCATTGGAAGGCAAAGTCTTAACCACCGGACCACCAGGGAAGTCCCACACTAACAACTTTTTATCTTGAAGTCTCCTATAGATAAGCAGGTTCCAGTCGGCTACTCCATTACAGAGTTAGGTATCTAACTAATGCTTCAAAGAGGTGCATTTCTCCCAGGGCGTAGGAACTCCTTTTTCAGCAGGAACACTAACCTTTGAAACACTAGGGAACCATTTAACAAATTATCATTTCAGTAGACTCAGCGGGGTCCTAATGGGCTGGAAGCACAACCATAACAAAGGGCTAGCCTCCTAGAGAAAATTCAAAGAAGGAAATCTGCCTCTACTATAATAATGGCGAAACATTAACATGTTAAGTGCCCTGAAGGAGAGGTTCCAGGTGAATTTCTCCAGCATTTTCCTTAAACTTTCCTACCCAGAAATAAAAAATGCTGAACATGCTGAAAGGAGAAAAGGAGTTTTAAAAAATGTTTACAGAAACTCCCTGGAGGTCCAGCGGTTAGGACTCCACGCTTTCACTGCCAAGGGCACGGGTTCGATCCCTGGTCGGGGAACTAAGATCCCGCAAGCCATGAGGTGCAGCCAAAAAAAAAAAAAGGTTTGATAAAATCTCTTTCTTTTTCCAGTCTTGGAGATAGGGTTAATTAAAACTTTTCTTTCATATTTGTATTTTTCCCCCGATTTAAAGCACTTCCACTCCCTACCTCTGCCTAGACTGGCCTTCCATTTAAAAAAATATTTCGTAAGATAAAATTACATGTAAGTAATTTGAAAGTCATAGCCACACCCTAGTGGAACATAACCACAGCCTTAGGCAGACTGCACAATCATGTCATGAATATAGAGCCTTTGTTTCTAAGACGTATCTCTGTTCTGGGATCCTAATACTAATTTAACAGAAATTGTTTTAGTATCCTTAACAGATTCTCAAAAATATCTCCTTAAAGCAATATGGCCTCCTCTCATTTTTCCGTTAGGATTTTTGTTTGTTTGTTTCTGTTTCCCTTCTCCAAAGCTAATGAGTTACCCATAACAAATATTTCCATGTTGCTTTGCCACCGGCATAATCTTCATAGGGAACTGTCCAGGTTTTTGCACTTGCCAAAATATGGCAATATCCAGAGGGCTCACCAATATGTGAAGACACGGTATTCCCAAATTCCCACAAGAACATCTGTACAAACGCATCAATATAAAAACAACTGTGCCCAATTTTAATAAATCTGATGAAAAGCCGTTTTATGAATTGGTGCTGGATTACTAAATAATTCTCAGCTTTTTGACTTTAAAAATTATACTTTTAATTACAGGATATTGTTAGAATAATATTGTTAGAATAATACAGATATAGATAGACACAAGGAAAACTGCTGTACATACTTACTTGTTCACTCACTCTCCACAACCATAGAAAACAGGCACAATGTGTTCAGGGTGTGTGCAGAAGCAGCCAGAGACTTGGGAGCAGAAGGCATGCAAAAAGCTTTATCAAAGAGAGACTGAGGCATAACTTTACACAGAGTTCAACACAGCAAATGGGCAACAATTGTCAGGAAGAGAGGAGACAGAGCTGGTCCGGCCCTCGCCCTTTTAACTTCCCAACTGAAGTGTACATGTCTGGAGAGATGGCTGGGGCACTCAGAAGCCAAAAGCAGCAGAAGGAACAGCTTGGGGGTGGGGCAGGGGAGTAGGGAAGGAAAAGGGGGTGAAATAGGTCATGGAGATGCTGTCTTCTTCTACAGCCACTCTGAAGCTGATGCCCCTAGGGGCTCACAGAAACAACAGGAGAACTTTGATATTCATTAAAACCGCCAGCAACACTGATACAGGAAAAAGACATTTGAGTTTAGTCATCAAGAACATGTAAGTCATTCAACAATTAAAATATGAATATCCAAAGTCAGCTAAATTTTGTATAGAAGAAAAAACATGCTCCCTGCCCAAGTTTGTATTTAAATAAGAGTGACAACATAAAGACATGTACTTGGTGGAGTGGTTTTTCATTGTTACTTTTGAGGTTGTGTCATTTGCAAGGGATGCAGACCCACATGGTTGTGGGTCATAATAAATCACTATAGTATACTACCCAAGGGAGACCACTGGCTCCTTTAACGCCAAGTCCCAAAGAGCTATGGCAAGTTTTTCAAACGTTACAACACTCACAATACAGTAGAAAAAACGTGGGGCAGGCTCAAAAAATATATATTCCTCACTCTAGTCCCATCTCCTGGGCATCAGTTCCCTCCAACTCCCACCCCCAAATGCTTGGATAAGCATCAACATTTGGGATATTTCTTAATTCCTATTTGGGCTGAGATAAGGAGAACTGACAGTACTGGGCTTAAATTGGGTCAACTCTTACATTAACCACTTAAATCTGTAGGCTGGGAGAATGGAAATACATTCCTATCTAGTTTTATTAATTCCCCGTGACTAGGCCAAAGAGAAGATAATTCAGTCTGAGAACAGGACAATCAACCTATTTGTCTGGTAATAATCTCCAACTGACTGGTACATATAAACAAGTGCTTCGTTCTGTACAAAGACAGATCTTACAGGAGAGTACACATTACAGCACTAGTGTTTCAATTTTTTTTCATAAAGAATAAAAAAAAGGACATTTCTCACATTGGAGTTATGTCTGTAGTTCTGTCACATGATCAATATCACCCAAGAACATGCTAATTCAGTGTGAATTCAGTTTCTGCTATTGGAAAAACGACAGGAATACACGTTTTACATGTACATACACATGCCCTTATGCAAGCTAAGATAAACACTGGGATGTGGCCCTTATCAAATCCTAGAGTTAGCAGTATAGGGAGAATTGATCTTAAAGGGTAGAGGGGAAAGAACAGAGAAATGACCTGCATTCCTTGGGAAGGGACTCTGTGTTTCCTTCCCTGAAGTGGTCAATTCCACTTGCTCCTTACACTCCACCATCACTTATGGTCCTATCTTTCCTTGAAGATATTTTCCCTACAATATTCCCTACAGTGATCCCCAAAGAAAATTAATAAATTCTGATTAATGGCAATAACAGTGGGCATCTCTTGCTAAAGTCACCACTGTTGATGAGTCCTTGGTCCCCAAACCTATGTCTCATTTTTCCTTTTAATCTGTATCTTCAGTTAGCTTCCACAAACATGAAAGCTTTAAAAAAGTTAGTTAGAAACAATGAGGCAAAATGTTATGATCATTGCCTTCATCATGCAGAATCCTGCTCTTAGGAAGACAGAAAGATACAAATGCATGAGCAACTCAAGGAGAAAGCCCTTTGAAGGGAAGATGTGTGTGCCCAGCTACCATGGTGAGTGAATAGGTGTGGCAATTCAGGCAAAGTCTCTGGTTGTCTTTTACCAAAGCAGCTGTGACCACCCTATCACAGGTCAATATTTCCCCTAGCATAGTTCTTTGGGCCAAGGATGGGAGAAATTACTTTTAAAGATTTACTCCATTTCCAGGCCTAAGCATTTATCAGCATTTAGCACCTGGTCTTCAGATTTCCAGTTACTTGTGGGGCTGATTTTGATGAAATAATTCATTAATATTGGGTGAATAAAAATCACTATTTTGGAGGAAGGAATACCATTCCCAAAGCCATGGATCAGAATTTCAAGTGGCTTGTCTTCTTTGATGTTCTAAACTGTGGCCCACAACAAGGAAATTCAGTACAGTAAAAGCAGCTCAGTCTTGAGAGAGCTCTTTGATATCAAATAAAATTGTACCTTCAAATGAATCATTTCTCAGTCATAATTACAGGACTTAGTCAGTGTGAACTCTCTTATGTTTAATGAGAGCGGAGCTCCGGCTGAAACTCTTCTCACATTCGGTACACTCATAAGGCTTCTCTCCCGTATGAACTCTTTGATGTGTGATGAGGTTGGAGCTCTGGGTAAAACCTTTTCCACACTGCACACACTCATAGGGTTTCTCTCCTGTGTGGGTTCTCTGGTGTTTAATTAGGTCTGACCTTTCACCAAAGCTTCGCCAACACTCGTTGCACTCATAGGGCTTCTCTCCAGTGTGAATTTTCTGGTGTGTGATAAGATGAGAGCTCCGGCTGAAGCTTTTCCCACAGGCATTACATTCATATGGCTTTTCCCCAGTATGGGTTCTCTGGTGCTGAACCAAGTGTGAGATGCGGCTGAAATTCTCCCCACATTCATTACAGTGGTATGGCTTTTCCCCTGTGTGGGCTCTGCGATGGCGCACAAGGTCGGAGTTCTGACTGAAATTCTTCCCACACTCATCACACTTGTAGGGTCTTTCCCCCGTGTGGACACGATAGTGTTTGATCAGATCAGATCTCTCACTGAAGCCTCTCCCACATTCGTTACATTCGTAAGGCTTCTCACCTGTGTGGGTCCTCTGGTGCTGAGCTAGGTGAGAGCTCCGGCTGAAGCTTTTCCCACACTCCTCACACTCATAGGGTTTTTCCCCACTGTGGGTCCTTTGGTGCTGGATTAGGTGAGAGAGCCGGCAGAAACTTTTTCCGCACTCGTTACATTTATGGGGCTTTTCTCCAGTGTGGATTGTCTGATGCTGAATGAGGTGAGAGCTTCTTCCAAAACTTTTCCCGCACTCATTACAGTCATAGGGCCTCTCTCCAGTGTGTGTTCTTTGATGCTGAATAAGGTGGGAACTCCGACTGAAGCCCTTTCCGCATTCATAACACTTATAGGGTCTGTCACCGGTGTGGGTTTTCTGATGTCGATTAAGGTCTGAGATCTGACTAAAGGCCTTTCCACAATGAGAACATATATGATATCGGATGCTTGTATGGACTTCTTTGTGGACAAGCAGATCGGTGACTTGTTGGAGAGGATAGCTTACCCACTCTTCTGTTAGATCTCCCCATTGTCTTTCTGATCTATCCCTGTTTTCAAAGCCCTCTTCACTTTCAGGACTGTCCTCAGTATTACCAACAGGTCTTTCAGATGCAGTCCCAAATTCCACATCTTCACTACTCTCTTGCTTTGGATTCACCTCATTTTCACTCCTGATTTCAAAATCTGTAATAAAAGGTGAATAATAATACTGGTAAACATATACAGAAATTATCTACTGTGTGCTGGGCACTGTGCTAAGTTCCTTTTTTTTTCTTTTTTCTTTTTTATTAATTAATTTATTTATTTTGGGCTGTGTTGGGTCTTCATTTCTGTGCGAGGGCTTTCTCTAGTTGTGGCAAGCGGGGGCCACTCTTCATCGTGATGCGCGGGCCTCACTATTGCAGCCTCTCTTGTTGCAGAGCACAGGCTCCAGACACGCAGGCTCAGTAGTTGTGGCTCACGGGCCTAGCTGCTCTGCAGCATGTGGGATCTTCCCAGACCAGGGCGCGAACCCGTGTCCCCTGCATTAGCAGGCAGATTCTCAACCACTGCACCACCAGGGAAGCCCCATGTTTTAAGTTCTTTAGCCACCCTGAGAGCCAGGCATTATGATGATTTCTACTTTATGAATGAGAGATTCAAGGCCCACAGAAGTGACTCGCAAAAGGTCATACAGTAGTAAATGGTGAAGCTAAGATTCAAATCCAGTTCTGTCTGATAAAAGTTCATGCTCTGTATCACTACAGTTAATGGTTCCTTATGAATATTGTTTATGTTCCTGGTGTTTCAAAAGAAGAAAACCATAAACAGAAAATATAAAAGACTCTAAATTAGAATTTCTAAAAGCCAAGAGCCTAGATATTTTATATGTGAATGAATTTGTGTGTATGTGTATGTTCTTGTCAAGCCTTCTTCATGACCATTACATAATATTTACTAAGAACCTACTGGGTTAGCATGGAGAAAAATTTTTATCAATCTATATCAAGTCTCGGTTGACAGGAAAAATGACGGCCAAATGTTACTTGCTACTTTTCAGTGGCTTTTTTTTTTTTTGCCACGCTACGTGGCTTGCGGGGAACTCCACCAGGGATCAAACCCAGGCCCAGCACAGTGAAAGTGAGGAGTCCTAACCACGAGACTGCCAGGGAATTCCCTCAGTGGCCTTTTAATGAAAAGAGAGGTGGGAAGGTTGGAGAAGGCAAAAGAGATGCCTGGCTCAGAATATTCTTGGCATTGACTAGGTCAAGACTTTAAATGAAAATCAAAATATACAAAGTCACTGTCTACAAGAAACTTTCTACCAGACACTGCTTTTTCCAAGTTGTGTTTCTTGGTACACTCTTCAGAAAGAGATTACTAGGTATGCTGGGAGAAAAGGGTCCAGGGATAAATTAGTTTGGTAAATGGTGCATACAACATCGTCTTCTTAGAAATTAAAAATGCCTGATATCACATTAAAGGTTCTGAAGAGTCTTGAGGTAAAGAAGCCTTGTAAACATTATCTAACCCACTCCCAAACTTATATGGGCAAGAAATATATATATATATATTTTTGTGCTTCCATGCTTCCATCCTTCCAAAATGTGCTCCTTGGGCTGGACCACTGACATATAAATTCACATTTCTTTAAGATTCTCATTTCTTGCTTTTGTTGGATTGAGTGGAATATTTGGGTTACTGACTACAATAGATCTGGGTAGCTAACTTCACTTCTGGCTGCATTTTGAAAGGAAGGATCCAAGAAAGTTGGGACATCAGAGAGAGCCCAATTTAAAAAGGAAACCCTTCACAGTTTGCCTTTTTTTTGTTAAAAGCTATAGGAATAAAGATTTCATAAAAAGGAATAATCCTAATGAATGGCAGATGACCTAGTCAACCATACATGATTGCTAACTTCTGTCAAGTCCTAACAGGAGACAAAGTGAGTCAAAAGACTTTCAGCTCAAGAATACACTGTTTATTCTAGTTACACCCAGACCAAAGGATATCTAAGAGAAAAGACAGGTTTGCAGACCATCAAAAAAATTAGCTTCCCTCTCTAATAGAATTTGTGATCTCATTTAGTTCAGGATTCTTCTGGAACAGCATCATCTGACACACTCAAAATCTATGATCAACTCTGAAACGTCTCTAGACAAGTACCTGCTCTGGATAAATAAAGGACTTGAGTCAAAGCTACAGCTCTGAAGCCAAAGCAAACACAAAAAGGTGGCTTTTGCCTTCCCATGAACCTGGGTCAGAACCCCTTTATCTTCTAGTAAAAGCACCATTTACAGGGGCATTTATATCCTGGCAAGCACCATTATGTCAGACCTGTTTGGTCAGTGATCTGTACAGACAGGCTGGAGAATGGCAAATGACTCAGGGCGCAAGAAATCTGAGTGTTTCTAAAATGTGCAGGAACGATCTTTCATTTTAGACCATATGACCTTGATATTCCCTCATTCAAAGATCTGCCTGAGGACTCGACTCAAGCCAAAATCCAATTAAGAGCTTTAAGAATCAACTAACTAGGTTGTGTTGACAGAGCTAAGGCATTTTTGACAGTCTCAAAAACGTGGGGTGGAGAAAGATAGAGAATACTTACCTAATGAGACAACATTTCCATAATTCTCCTGCATAACATCCCTGTAAAGGTCCCTTTGTGTAGGGTCCAGAGGTCTCCATTCTTCCCGGGTGAGATACATGGCCATATCTTCAAATGTCACAGGTGCCTGAAATCACACATTGCTTCCTCAATACTTGGTATCTAGGAGGTTAGTACCAGTTTTTCTTCTCGAAATTAGAGACATGGCTAGAATTGTTGAGGAGGCAAAAGGTATTAGGTCTGATATGTAGAGTCCAAAGGAGAAATAAACAAGCAACAAAGAGATGTGGTAAAGGAGAGAGCAATTTATGAGCTGATTGCTTTGGTCCCATGGCCAGATATCCCTGCCCCACTCCGAAGCTTACCCTCTAGCAGTACTTTTCTCAGAATACAACTAGCACCTACATCATTCCATACCTTCACCCACAATGTTCCTATTTTCTTGGAATATCTTTCTCAGGGTAGTGAAATCCTACTGTTCCTTAAGGTCCTGTTCCAGCACCGACTGTTCTTCAATGCGCCCCATCTCGCTGCTCTGCTCCACTCCTCCCTCCCTCCCACACCTCAGACAGAATTAATACTCCCACTTCTTGGTTCCCACAGCACGTTGCTCCTACAGAAAATTGTGCTCTTATCATGTAGTTTCATGGTTAACCGGATGCATCTGTCTTCCTACTGATTGTGAGCAGGCAGGGAGGGCATGCCTCATGCATTCTTTTGTCTCCCCAGTATTTAAAGGCAAACAGCAGGCGTTCAATAAATGCTTGTTTGTGGCTATACTGTCCCGATACTGGGTCTCTGGAGGCAGAATACCGAAGCAAGCGAATTACTAATCTCAGGGATTTCCCACAGAGATTCGCGGAGCAAAGAAACGCAGGAACGAGGTGGGTAAGCACAGGCAGGGTCCGAGAAGCCACCCCCGGCTTACCTGGGACCCAGCCATGAGCAGGGTGGCTGCCATCTCGGGCTCAAGGATTCGCCTCCCAGGAGAGAGAGAGCAGGAAAAGCAGCTAGCAGACAGCGCTAAAGGAGGCGAAAAGCAGGGCGTGAGGCACAGAAACAGGCCCTGCCCACTCCCCGGGGCTGGAGTTCGGGCCGCCAGGCGACTGGGGAGGGCCCTGAATCCGGGCCGGGTCACTCTCCTCCCTGACCCTCGAGCGCGACCCGCCCTCCGTGTCTCCGCCACCAAGGGGTGGAGGCTCCCGGAATTACTAAGACAGCCCCCTGGCTCGATCCCTCCCGGGCCGGGGGTCAAGCCGAGGCTGTCTCAGGGAGGAGGCTCTCAGCCCAGCCCACAGAACGCCTCTGCTCTTCCATGTCGAGGCTGGGCCCTTTCCGGCAGCTGCCTCAGCCAATCAGCGAGCGAAGCGAATACGAGGCCCGCCTCTTGTAGCACGGCCGAGCACCTTTATCACGCCTGAGCCCGCCCCCGTGGCCTGTCGGGAGTTGGAGTTCCATTCGGGCGTACAAAGGCCAGTCAGAGGCCAAAAGCCACGGAGGGAAAAGAACAAAAGGGTGAAGAAAAAAGCGCGTCCTCCTAGCCAGGGCGGAGTATCTTCCGCTCTCCTCTCTCGGAGACCACAGCAGGCCTAAGCCAGGGAGGTTGCCTTGCTTCTCTTCACGTCCCTACAAGCTTATCTTGAGTCGGACCTTAACTGCGACGTCGAGCCTAATTTAGGCGCTGGCCTGTGTTGAGTTCAGCTGGGATTAGCTCTCACTTGACATCCTGGGCCTGAGAGGAAAGCAGCAGCCGCCCACTCCCCAGGGGAGACTCAGCGGCCGCGCTGGAACTTTGAGCTCCACCCACGCACTACATCACCCGGCAGCGACTGCGGCATTCTCACACTGCTACGCAGACTACAACTCCTAGAGGGCAACGCGCCGCCCGTCCGCCAGCAAGTGTGGTCCGCGGCTGGGCCAGGCTTGTGTCCCGGCTCCATCGCTGTTAACCCTGTACAGGCGTCCTTCTAAAGAGGGCGCTCCTTGAGGGGCAGGCTGAGTTGCGCCTAGCGGAGGGGACGCAAAAGCCGGAGGGAAAGCAGAAGCGAGGGTGGGGTATAGGGGCGCGTAAGGTGGAGCGAGCCAGACCCCAGGGTTGGGAAGGACCGTCCTTATCATCCCTGAGGGCTTGCCTGCTAAAAGGGTTCCTGGCGGCCTCCCGCATCTATGGGATCGTGGGCCTCTAATGGCCCACGCCCGGCGGACCCTTAGGTTGTTAGCAGTCCCTCACCAACTGAAGGTGGGAAGCCGAAAACCCGAACTGGAAACGAGCAGACCTACCTCCTGGCCCGCAAAAGATCCGCTAGGTCGCCGGCTCCAAGATCCAAGAGGCCTCAAACAGATTTCAAATCCGCAGGCAGAGTTCTCTGAGACTACAGACGTTCGGAAAGATTCTGGGGGTCACTGGCAGATCCTGTCTATCTCAGATCTGCAGGTAGATCTCGAATCCGTAGACGTGCAGGCAAAGCTCAGAGATCGTAGGCGGATCCCAAAGACTCACAGATTCCCGAGACCTCAGACTCTCAGACAGCACAGAGAAACCACAGGCTCATAGGCAGATTCCTGAGACCACAGCAGCTAGCCAAGAAACACCACCAGCAGCTAAGCTACATTCAACTGGAGTTCTTCCGAACGGAAGGACTTGCAGCCTTCCCTTTCCCCAGCCAGGATGAGAAAATTAGACAATGGAAGCCGAGCACTAGGGAAAGCAGGCATTCTGCGTGGGGAAGAGCTCTGAGCTCGCTGTAGCCTTGGAGAGGGAAGTGATGGAAAAAGAATATAGCAGCTTATTAGGGACTCCCACCCTCTTCAAGTTATAAATATCCCCAGAACCTTGGCTACGTGCCCAGAAGCCTGTTGTCTCTAACTGTACAGGAGACTTCTCTGCCTGAGCTGGGAAAGGGGCTTTTCTTTTGTTTTGCAGATATGTCCACCCACTAAGTGACTTGAATTTTTTTCTTCAAACGTGACTCTAGGCTACGCTTTTATTAGTGAGTGTCCTGTTCCCAGTGCCCAGTTATTTATGGTTAAATTACTCAAGTGTCTAAAAAGAACTAAGACCCTACCCAGCCCTGAGGCAGACTCTCCCACGCCCCGCTCCTCTTCTCACTCCCAACTGTGAGGCAAGGGATTTTTTTAGATACCACAGAATTGTACCATCCTACCCCATCTAAAATTAATATGGGAACCACAAAAAATAGAATCGCAGAGGGTCCCCAAGAGGCAGTGTCCTGAGTGGGAAGTGTGCGGGCACCAAGGTCAGACAGACCTGGGTTGGAATCCAGGCTGTGTATCCCTTGGAAAGACATTTAATCTCTCCAGGCCTATTTCCCTTTCTGTGAAATTGGGTAATCGTACCTAAGGTGGTGGTGAGCAGTAAGTGAGATGACCTAAAGCATTCGACACAGAGTGAGCACTCAGATGATAGTTGGTATTATTATTAATCCTGCCTTTGGTGGCAGGAGAGACTTTCAGAAAGGCCTGTGGATATTTTCACTGGCTCAGAACATCTGGGCAGTCAGAGTAGCTGGATAGCTTTGAGGATCTGCTGATGACTGTATTATCCATAGTGTCTCTGCTGAAAATCCAGAGGGAACTGGAAGTTGAGCCCGTTAGTTGGGTTCAAGAGAACTGGTGTATTGAGCCGAGTAGAGCAGAGGTATTTGGGGCTGCCAAAAACCCAGCAAGGTGAGGCCTTGCACTCCCAGGGAAACCTCTGGGACAAGGAAGAGGGAGATCGGTTCAGACTTTGGCCAAGTAATTGCAGGTTTCTAACTGGGCCGAAGGTGAGGTGAGTGCCTGCGCCCCTCAGCTCAGTGGGGCTCCCTTTTCATCCCTTCTCTGACAGATTGCTTTGTAAACTTTCTTAGGCCTTTTCTTTCCCCTTGTTCCAGAGCTTTAAGTCCTTCTTTGTCCTCTCGCCGTTCCTTTTATTCCTCAGGCCTGCCTGGGGGCAGGACGACTCTCCAAGCCCAGCTTGGCGGCTTGCCTCCTTCTGTGAGTAAGTGCTTTTCTCTTTCTTCACCTGGGACCCTCCAGAGGCTAGAGGAGAAGAGGGGCGGAGAGCGGATGGAAAGCATGAGTGCATTTGGGGCCCCTGGGTGGGGAAGAGAGGGAGGAAAGCCAGTGGGTGAGGGGTTTCCTGTTGCAGCCTTCAGCTGGGCTCTAAGAGTTGGGGGTCACTGGAGGAGGAGGTGGCTTCCTGCCCCATTGTTCAGGACTTCATTGTTTCCCAGGAATACTTATTGTGTGTGGGTTTTCAATAACCAACTTGGAAAGCTGTGTTTGTTACCATTATTCAGCAAACAATGTGCACCTACTGTGTGTAGAGGCAGCAGCACAGCCTACCACTGGGGAAAGGGGCCAGGAGTACCATTTCATCAGGGTCTCCAATTTAGGCTTTTGACATTATCTCCAAGTAGGGTTGTACATTATGTCAGATCCACTGACCAATTTGATCAAAGAGCCTCCTTGTATATCCTGAAGCTTGTTTCTTATTAACAGACCACTGTGCCTGGGGAGCACTATAAATTATTATATTTTAATAAATCCTATAATTATCTTGTGAGCAGCACAGTTATAATTTTTTGTATTGGAAGCGTTCATTTGCTAGACATTGAAAAATATACCTCTATATTTGAGATCTTGTTTTGTTATCTCTTCATTTTCAAATATACCAGGAACACTGAAAAAAAAAATCAGGGCTTCTGTTTACCCCTGCTCAGAGCAGAGATGAAGCCTCATCTCAGCACAAGGAGCTGGGGACATGGGGGACACCCTGACTTACAAACAGTTACTGCAGTCCAACTGCTAGAGCATTTGGAGAAGCTAGCTAGCGGGCTTCGAGGAGGGGCGGGCTCACAGCTGCGGGGGCGGGTAGGGGAGGAGTCTTCACAGAGGAGGTAACTTCGGAGCTCGCTTGCAAAGACTGTAGGAGTCTCGGAGGTGGAGAACGAGGCGAGGGAAAGCATTCCAGGCTTCGAGAACAGCATGTGCAAAGTCACGGAGGCGTGAAAGGACGGAGCGTGTTCCAGAATGGTCAGGATTGGGTATGGTTAGAGGGAAGAGTATGGGGGTGGACAGGCCGGGGGAGGAAGCAGAGCAGGGACAGTCTCTTATGTCCCTTTGCCTGCCTGCCTTTTTGTCTCTGGCTTTGGCTGTGGATCAGCAATGCTGGTGATGAAGTGCAGATTGGCGGGTGGCCTGGGGTGAGAAGAGCAGATTGACTCTGCAGGAGGAGAGGGGAGTGGCCAGGATTGGGAAGCTCTTTATGACCTCATGCATTTCAGCTGGCTTTCTCCTTAGAGAATCAACATTTTCAAATAATGTAAACAATTGCACTAAAAATGCACAACAAACTTATTTAGTATTGTTTAACCTATTTAAAGGCATCAAATAGGCCTATATTCACTGAACATATTTACTGTCTCTGTCCTGTACCAGCACTGTGCTGGGAGTTAGGATACTGCCCCTCACAGTGACTGCAGGGCTGCTGTGAGGATTAAATGTGAGAATGGCTGCAAAACGTAATATGCACAGGCACAGAGGAGGGCCTTGTCACACAGTGGCCATCATGGTTGTAGGAGAGGTAAAACGCATCACAGATGATTTTTCACCTCCCATCTGTGAGGTGAAATCATGTTTCAAAGTGACTCAGAGCATGAACGGAGGCCCAGGTTCAAGTCCAGATTCTGTCTCATAGAAGCAAGTTACTCTCTGAGCCTCGGTTTTTTTGGTTTGTAAAAAGAATATAATAATACAGTTCATAGAGACATAAAGCAAAATAGTGCTTGCCAGGGGCGGGGGAAGGGGGAAATGGGGAATTGTTAAATAAGAATAGAAGTTCAGGTTTTTAAAAAAATATACTTATTTTATTTACTTATTTATTTGGTTACATTTTATTTATTTATTTGGTTGTGCTGGGTCTTAGCTGCAGCAGGTGGGCTCCTTAGTTCTGGCTCGCCGGCTCCTTAGTTGTGGCATGGGAACTGTTAGTTGCAGCATGCATGTGGGACCTAGTTCCCTGACCAGGGATCGAACCTGGGCCCCCTGCATTGGGAACGCAGAGTGTTAACCACTGCTCCACCAGGGAAGCCCCAGAAGTTCAGTTTTGCGAAATGAAAAGAGTTCCTGGAGATTGGCTGCACAACAATGTGAATGTACTTAACACTACTGGACTTTATGTACACTTAAAAATGGTTAAGATGGTAAATTTTTTGTTATGTATATTTTCTCACAATTAAAAAATTTTATTTTTTTAAAATAAATTTATTTTATTTATTTTTGGCTGTATTGGGTCTTCATTGCTGCGCGCGGACTTTCTCTAGCTGCGGTGAGCGGGGGCTACTTTTCGTTGTGGTGCGTGGGCTTCTCATTGCGGTGGCTTTTCTTGTCGTGGAGCACGGGCTCTAGGCGCGTGGGTTTCAGTAGTTGCATCACATGGGCTCAGTAGTTGTGGCTCACGGGCTCTAGAGTGCAGGCTCAGTAGTTGTGGCGCATGGGCTTAGTTGCTCCGTGGCGTGTGGGATCTTGCCGGACCAGGGCTTGAACCCGTGTCCCCTGCATTGGCAGGCGGATTCTTAACCACTGCACTACCAGGGAAGCCCTCCCACAATTTTTTTTTGCACACAAGTTCATTTAATCTAAAACTCACCAGTTCTCAACCCACAATTTTTTTAAAAAAGAACCTAGTTCATGGGGTCTGAGGATTAGTTGAGACAATATAAAGTACCCCTATACTCATAACAATAGCTAATGTTCACTAGTCAGGTACTTTGTGTCAGGTATGATTCTAATGAATCCTCACAACAGCCCTATGAGCTAGGTGCTATTATTACCATCATTTTACAGATGAAAGACGAAGGCATGAATTTACATAATGTGCCCAAGATACCCAGCTAGTAAATGCTCAAAAATTAATAGATATTATTTTTTTAAATTAATATTTATTTATTTTGGCTGCGCTGCGCCAGGTCTTCGTTGCAGCATGTGGGATCTTCACTGCAGCATGTGGGATCTTTAGTTGCGGCATGCAGACTCTTAGTTGCAACATCCATGTGGGATCTAGCTCCCCGATCAGGGATTGAACCCAGGCCCCGTGCATTGGGAGTGTGGAGTCTTACCCACTGGACTACCAGGGAAGTCCCCTTAACAGATATTATTGACACTGTCATACAAAGGAATTATTATTGTTATCATGGTAGAATGCACTGTAATTATGGGCGTTTCACAGTGCTGTGGGAGTTCTGAGGAACCATCTCTGTGGCCAGGGTTATCAGAGAAGACTTCGCAGAAGATGTGTATCTGAGGTGAGCCTTGAAGAATGGGTAAGATTTGGACTGGGGTGGAGGAGGGGGAATTGGAATCGGCAGTCACAGTTGGGAAGGTCCATCAGGTTTTCAAGAACAGGACAGATAACTCCCTTAGGCTGGAGCATGAGGGGCAGCAGGGGTGGAAGATAAATCACTAAAGACAGGCAGATGGAAGGGAACTTTGAAAGTCAGACCAGGTATAGCTGGTGAAAATCCACGGAAAATGATTGGGGGAATGATGCTCAGAGCCATGCATGGCTCATGCAGGTAAGGTAGGGACTGTTTTTTGTTTGCTTGTTTATTTGTTTTTGTTTTTTTGGCTGCGCCACGCAGCATGTGGTATCTTAGTTCTGAGACCAGGGACGGAACCTGTGCCCCCTGCATTGGAAGTGTGGAGTCTTAACCACTGGACTGCCAGAGAAGTCCCGGTAGGGAGTGTTTTGAGTTGGGAGAGCAGTAGAAGGCCTTGGCATCAGTTGGAGAAAAAAGAAGAACTGAGAGAAAATGTTGATGGTGATGGCAGTGGAGAGAAGGATTGGGTAAGGGAGAGACTACAGAACTGATAAAATGAAGAGGGCAAGGGAAAAGGCTCAAAGATGGTTCTAAGTAATGAACTAGTTGACAAATAGAAAAGACAGAAGAGGGGATTTAAGAAAGAGAAGATGTGAATTCAGTTTGTGATTAATTGTATTGAGAGGGCCAGTGGGGTACTTGGACTAGATATCCAGATAGGCACTTGGTGACTGAAGTCTCAAGCTCAAAAAAATAAAAAACCTCAGAGCTAAAGACAGAAATTTGGTAGTCTGGATGAGACTACTAAGAAAGACCTCTCTGTAGTATTTCAGGTTTCTGTAACATTTGAAATCCTCTTTTAAACTGGTCATAGGATCTTTTTTTTTTCTTTACATCTTTATTGGAGTATAATTGCTTTACAATGGTGTGTTAGTTTCTGCTTTATAACAAAGTGAATCAGTTATACATATACATGGTCATAGGATCTTGACTCTAGTTTTCAAGGTCATTTGGCCCTAACATTCCTGGTGAGACCTTCTTTCCTCCATCCCAACCATGTTGCTTCTCTGTTTCACCTAATGTCGTCTTTTTCCTCCTGTAAGGTAGCAGCAATCTCCCTCCCCCTAGGAAGCCTTTCAGGGAAGTAGAGTTAACACTAACTCCCTTGAAGCTCACACCCTCTTCATCTTTATTTTTTTCTCTTCATCTTTGATATTAGGGAGGTGATGGGGTTAAACCATGTATTCTGGCCAACAGCATGTGCAAAGCCTGTGTGACGAGGAGGAACACAGCACGGCCGGTGTGGCTGGAGCCCAAAGTGTCGGGGAGAGGCAGAGGCCAGCCCTGCAGGGCCTTATAGGCCCTGCCAAGAGTAGTGGGAAAAAATGGAAGGTTGCAAATGGTGGGGGGGTGTGGAGTGGGGCGGGCAGGGGCTGTAACATGATCAGACTTGCAGTTTTGAAAAGCCTATTCTGGTCAGCGCAGTGGAGAGCATGAACTGGAGGGGGTTCTGGGTGGACACAGGAAGACCAGTGGGCAGGGTATTGACGCCTGCTGATGAACACAGTCTGAGGCCTATTCATGCTTTTCTGCGTCCTTTTGCGAATGTAGATGTGTACTGTATAGATGTGCGAACTGGAGCCAACTTGTTCTGCTGTTTAATCTGACTCATCTCCTTTGTAAACAGTAAGTTTATTGAGTTTTGTATTTTTTCCTATGCTGTAAATCCTCGTGACACCGGGAGCACAATGGACATTTAGACCGTGACTATTGAAGATCGCCCCAGGGTGGCATATTTAAAAAGCCCAAAAGTAACATTTATTGATATTATTATATTAATAGTGGTTGCTATTTTGTTCTGCTTTTGATTTCTAGACGTTTGGATGGAGGATTAGATAATGCAGAGAAAAATCTGGATATCTCAACCAGTACTACTCAAGTGTGGTCTGTGGACCAGCCGCATTAGCATCACCTGGGAGCTCGTTAGAAAAGAAGAAAATCTCAGGCCCCACCCCAGACCCACTGAATCAGAATCTGCGTTTTAACATGATCTCCAGGGGATTCCCACCTATATTACAGTTTAAGAAGCACCTGGGTATCTAAGCAACATCCTTCTACACTTCTGTGGGTAATATTCATACCTCAGGCTTTATCACACCCCATCTGGTGTGGGAGTCTCTACCTGTGGCTTCTTCCCCTGCCAGGCTGGGAGCTCCTGGAACGTAGGGGCCGAGCACGGTGTATGGCCCTGGATTTCTCATAGCATAAGGCACAATGACAGGAAGCAGGAGGCCTGGGTTTCCATCCTGGATATGCCATTTATGAGCTGTGTGTATTGTATCTTCTGTGAGAGGATTTTCAGTCCTTCCAAAGGACCCACCCCAAATCTGACCGCTGAAAAGCTGGAGGTGGTGGCAGGTTTCTGTACACAGTTTATTTACAGGCTTCATCTACAGGAGGAGGCACTTGGGTAGAAGGAGGAAGGTGATAACCAATTCCACCAGGGCACGTAAGAAACTTGGGCTGAAGTTACCCCAACAGCTACCCTAAGTGTGAACCAAGGCAGATGGAAACTCTATGAAGCAGGCACTAGTACCACTCCCATTTTTAATGGGTAAGAAAATGGCTCAGAGAGGTTAAGTGACTTGCCCAAGCTCCCAGGAGTTCACAAGCTCTTATGCGTTAGTTATTTTAGAAAACACGGTCCAGGAGCCTCAGCCTGGGGCTGCTGGAAGGCCAGGGACAGTCAGAGACTGAGACCCAGGACAGACCCACCAGACCTGCCCCCAAGGCTTTTCCAGAAGCTTCCAGATTTGCCTAAAATTCCTATCAGCTTAAAAAGCAAGCCAATTTCATCACGGGAGAAACACAACAAGGGCCCTTGTGCACTGCAGACTTCTTCCTCTGTAGCTCGGGCCACAATAGAGCTGTGAGGAACGCATTGCCTGGGCCTGGATGGGCTCCAAGGCTCAGGACCTCCCAGGGGCCACCAAACTCGGGCACCACTGTACACTTCATTCAGAAACCCTCAGCTCAAGACGATGTGTCCCCTGCCTAGAGGGACCAGGTCTGGAGTCCTCAAAGGCCCCCAAACAAGCTAGGAACAGGGAATAGCAGAGAGTCTGGGAAGAGATGAGGAGTGGGGAAGAAATCTTTCTACAGGATGTGGAAGTCATATCTGCCTAAGCCAAACCATGTGCCAACTGTTCTGCACGTGTGGTTCATGGTGGGTTGGGTAAGATTTGAGTCAGTCTGGTAGTTTTCAACTCAGAAAAGGCCGAGAGGTTCAGATGTGAAGGAAGGGACTCAAAGCAAAGGTCTGCCAGTCACTGTCAAAGATACGGCACCTCAGCTCTGAGGCTCTGAGTTTCTACAAGAGGTCTGTCAACACGGACTAAGCATTGTACCCCAGTTAGCCTCCCCCTATTAGTCAATCACTATTAATAACTGATTATTAATTTGTAAAAGAATTCTCCCTCTGATCCCTAATGCCCCATTCAGAGTTAAATACTTTTCTTCGTTTTAATTTTTATTTTTCTCCAGTTACGATGGCTTAGTGCTTTTTCTTTGTTCTTCCACACCTTGTTCACTGAAATCCTGGCTGGTGGTTCTATCAGCAGAACTACAAAACCAAAAAGGCAACAGTGTTTTAGAACTTTCTTTGCCGTGACTCAGGGAGGCTAGAGGCAGGTGGAGGGACATGAAAAGGAAGGTGGGGTCTGGAGCCACACAGACCAGAGTCCAGATCCCAGCTCTGCCATTATTAGCGGTGTGACCCCGAACAAATCACTCATCTGCATAATGGGATCATAATGCCGATCAATGCAGAAAAGCATATCAAGTAATGAATGGAAATTCGATGGCGGACATGCAGTAGGCTCTCAATTTATGGTCAGAAATAACACCGTGATTATTACTAATAGCTTGGTTATTAGACTTTAGGTCTCCCACATGGCAATGGACACTACCTGAAAATTTTGTCAGAAGCCATGTAGCTGCCACCTCTAGTGGGACCTGCCTCTCCAACTTCCAAATTCCAGTTTCTCTCCAGGAATCAGGGAGGAGGAGCTGGGTTTGGAGCTTTGCCCAATAGTAACACAATAGCTACAATTGATTGAGCACTTACTCTGGGCTAGGTGGCATTGACGTATATTAACTCATTTCATCCTCACAGCCACCCTGTGAGATAGGCACTGTCATATCTCTTCCATTTTCACAGATAAAGAAGCAATTCAGACAGGTTAAATGACTTGCCGAAGCTCCCATAATACTAATAGGTAACAAACTCACAATAATAAGAATGGTGGTTTCTATGTACCAGGCACGTATGTGCTCAGGCCTTTGTTGTATGGCTGTACAGCTTGTTCACTGCACAAGAGAGTTTGGCCAAAGGGGCAGGTTGGGGCTGAAACTCAGCCCCTGCTCTTTGCCAAGTTCTGTACCCTGGTGCAAGGCTGTGTCTACGTGGAGGCAAGGACACTTCTTTCTAATTTGACAAAGATACCACATGAGCTACCAGAGGCCCTGTTAATTCTTTATGTGTATTACCTTCTCAATCCTCAAAACAGCTCTATGGGCTAAGTATTCCTACCCTTATTTTATAGATGAGGAAATCCAGACCTAGAGAGTTCAGGTCATTTAGCAAAGTCACCTTGTAAAGCTAGGATTTGAGCCTGATACCAAAGCCCATGCTCTAAACCAGTAGGCCATTATACTGGCCCCATCCCTAAGTGCTCAATAAGTGAATAAAATAAAAATACATAATTTGTCTGACTTTTACCCTAAAATACATGGCAGTTCTTATGAGGCCCCATGGCTGTTGAGGCCCTACATAAAGCTGTAGGATGCTCAATCGATCAGGAATGTGGAGTACTGTCTTTCAGTTCTCGAAACTCTGTGACTTTATGCTTGTTAACCATTTCAGTAGCTCAGTTTCCCCATCTGAAAATGAGAGTAATATTATAAAGGAACATTTCTCTTAGTCGTTGCAAAGTGTGTGTGCGCGCGTGTAATAATCGTCACGTCAACCATGGGAGGGGAGTGGCACGCTCAGGGTCACCCAGCGAGTAGGACAGAGCGGAGACCTGAAACCAGGGCTCCTGACTCCCAGTCTCATGCTCAGTCCTTGCTAAGTACCTTACAATTTTAGGAGCACCTGCAGCCTGCCTGGTGGCCCAGACATTACACAGCACACATGCAAGTCAGATGGTACTGTAAACGGACATTAACCATGTGACCACACTCAGTTGTTTCAGAAGACGAGGCAGGAAGGAGCACTGTGAAGGGAGTCTTTGCTTGGCTCCCATGCCTGAAAACAAAACCGCTGCCTTTGCAGGGGCTGGGGCCCATCTGGGTTACAGCCTTGGGTAATGTAAGGCTTTTCCAGAGCTGCTTTAGGAGGGGAGGTTGACCTGGGAGCATCTGGGGGCAACGCTGTCTCATCCCTGGCTGTGACCAGGTTCAAAGGAAAGACCATCTGTGGAACCACTTTGCAGAGAGGCGTGGTCCAAATGCAGAGTGCTATTGTTTTTCCTCCCCTCTGTGGATCTCAGGAGGCTGATTCCATCTGTGTTCGAATGACAGACTTGCTCTTCCTGTGATAAAATGCGGGCTGCTGTCCCCACCCCAGCTGGGTGCTTTCCAAAAAAACCATGCACATACACATGTACAGTGTCCCCACCTCCCCAAAACAACCCACCACTATCTCCAGCTCTGCAGGCCTGCTCTGTGGAGGCTGGCAAGCCCCCCATGTATGAGGCCCCTTTTGGGCTGTGGGCATCCTACTCCTTATGTGGGCAGCATCTGTGGATGACAGGGAAGAAAGAAAGATACAGATACAGACATACAGACCTTCCAGCGATTGCCACATTCATTGCATAAGACAAAGGTAGTCATGGGCTCATCAGCACTGCGTGTCTGCACCTGAGAGAAAAAGAGAGCAGGGACCACTCATGAAGTCACTTTCCTGCTCTAGGACCTGCTATGGCTCCCACTGTCTGTAGAAGCAGGTCCAAATCCCAGAGGCTGGCACCATTACTCCCACTCCACTTCGGCAATTCCCTTATCTCTAAGAATTCCATTGTGTATTCATATGTTTTCCATCAGCTCACTTCCAGTATCTCCCTGGCTCAACCTGACCTTTGCACTCTCACTCTTTGTTGTTGATTCTTCCGAACTGATCTGTCTTCTCTTGCGTCAAGACTCATCTCCTACTGGAATAATGAACACATCCTATTGGATGTACCTCTCTGATCAGAACTGAGTGACCTGGAAGCAACCTTAGGGATCATCCAGTTTGTTGTTTATTTTACAGGTGGAAGAACTGAGACCCAGAGAGGAAAAGGGATTTGAAGATCATTGGGGATATTTAATATTGTTTTCTAGTTTCTCATCCCCTCAACCAGACCATTCAGGTGCAGAAAACAGGTTTCCCACAGCAAATCCCTGGTATTTCCAGATTTAACAATTGCTGTTCTGATTTTCTGCAGCCAACCCTGGATGGCCATGACATGTAGCAAGTTGTTGCTTTGTGGACACTCAGCTATGAACATGTCAGCTGGAGTGTGTGGAGTGGGGGGAAGTCACTAATGGGTGAGTCCAGCAGTGGGCCAGGAGGACACAGCCTTGTCACTGCAGAGCAATGACACCTGAGGAAGGATACCACTGGGGTCCCTCTGTGGAGAGAGAACTTTGAGAATGGGCATTTGACTGGTGGGAGGCGATGCACAGGAGGCATGTCATTCCACAGGGAAATGTGCTTGGAAGGGAGCAGGAACTTGCACACACATCTCCAGATTCCTGAACTAGAATTCTCCGAGAGACTCCTGAAAGGCAAGGCTCACTATTTCTGCTGTAGCCACAGATCCCCAAGGGCAAGATGCTGTGATAAATCTTGCTTGAGAGCAGACGGGGGAATGAACAGAGTTCTAGAGTGACAAAGCACCAATTAGAATCCAAGAATATTGGTGCCCCAAGGGCATAACACATACAACCCAGAAACAGCTTTTAAGTCTCAGAGAAGAGGCCTCCACAGCCTCCCACGGCTCCCCATGCCAGGGCAGTGGTCTTCACCCTTACCTTACGACTCGGGGCTAAATCCCTTAGGCTTTACTACCAAGTTGGCTGTATTGCAGGCAGAAAGGTCTGGATCTGGGTTCATTAACATCTCTGCCACTGTCTTTGCCACTTTAGACAAAGCCGCAAAACTTGTCCCTGTCTGGACCTCGGCTTCCTTGTGTGTAAAGTGAGGGAGCAGAGTTTTGTTTTTTTTTTTGCGGTACGCGGGCCTCTCACTGTTGTGGCCTCTCCCGTTGCGGAGCACAGGCTCCGGACGCGCAGGCTCAGCGGCCATGGCTCACGGGCCCAGCCGCTCCGCGGCATGTGGGATCTTCCCGGACCAGGGCACGAACCCGTGTCCCCTGCATCGGCAGGCGGACTCTCAACCACTGCGCCACCAGGGAAGCCCAGGGAGCAGAGTTTTTATTGCTAAGTTCCCTTCCAACCATTTGTGACTGTACAGTTGTTCTGTGCCCTGTGAGTCTCGTCCCTCTTATTCTTGCTTCAGGGCAGGCCAGAACACTCTGGCCAAGCCTCACAGACTCAGATCTGGGTGCGTCTGCATGCATCTTTTCTAGAAGCCACAGATGTATCATGTTGGCGTACCAAGACTTGCCCTTCTCTCTGCAGCCCAGGGTTTTAGCCCTTTCTCCCAGCTGGCTTGTCCCTAAGCTCCTCCTGGCCCCTGTCGCCTCCTCCCCCACTGGCCCCTCCCCCACCCCATACCTGGTTATAGGTGCAGTTTTTCTTCTTGCATTTGCTGCACTGGAAGAGGTCGGTGGTGGTGCCGCCTGTCTTGGCCATCTGGTGCTCACGGATGGCCTCTTGGGTCATGGCGTTCCTCAACTCCCTCAGCTCATCACTGGCCATTTCCTGGAGAGAAATGAGTCTGCCCCTCAGGGCCAGGGAGCCCCAGGAGTCCTGGCCCTGTCCCAGCTGGGAAAAGGCTTTATCAGAAGAGTCCCCATTCTGCCTTTGGGTGGAAGGTCAAACTCGGGTGCTCCAACTGGGCCAAGTACAGTAGGGCACGTATAGGAGAGTACAAGGCAAATAGCTTCCCCCAGGATCAACACTCTTGCGTACATTTCCTCAGGTACTCTTGTGTACCTTCCTGCTTAATCTGACTTGATTACTGACCCCCTGATCTATGATGTTCCCCTCGTCCTTCCAGTCTGGACTTGACCCACTGCCCGTCTGAGCTGGGATCCCTGCCCGGCCAGGCCATTCTGCCTGTTGGGAACCTTGGTCTCGACTATTCATGACTTACTGCTGTTACCCCCACCCAAGCAGGACCTGAAGCTCCTGGGTTCACACAACTAACTGCTCACCTGTGATTGCATCATGGAATATCTTTTTCTATAAGCTCCTACAGAACAGAGCCTCCTGTCTCTCGTCAGCTCACTGTAGGCACTCAGTGTCTGCATTACCCAGGTCCTCCCCTTTTCTGTCCCTCCCCTGTGGCCATTTGACTTGCCTTGAACTTCTTCCAGAAGACAGCAGAGAGGGAGACACTCAAACCGGACAGAGCTCTAGTTAGTGTTGGTTTGAGGGGAGGAAGATGGCTTCTATGCTTTGGTTTTTCGGCCGAGAGGCATGGGGGATCCCAGCTCCCCAGCCAGGGATGGAACACACACCCCTTGCACTGGAAGGCAAAGTCCCAGCCACCGGACCGCTGGGGAAGTCCCGAAGCTAATGTTAAAAGAAGATTTGGGGAGTTCCCTGGTGGTCTACTGGTTAGGATTCAGTGCTTTCACTGCTGTGGCCTGGGTTCAATCCCCGGTCAGGGAACTAAGATCCCGCAAGCCACGAGGCACGGCCAAAAAAAAAAAAACAACGAAACTTTTTTATTTTTTAAAGAGGATTTGGCACTGGCTAAACATTTTAATTATTGCCATCTAGCATGACTCCTTAAACTGTGGAGAACAGAGTTGGTACAAAGGTCAAACGAATTTAGTATGCTGACTGCTACATTATAACCACTTGGGTTTCTTGATAAAATGCAGATTCCTATGAATCCAAAACTCTAAGGGCAGGTCCAGGAATATGCATTTTTATTAGTGCCCCCAAGTTATCCTAGTACACACATGAATGTCCTACTGTGTCAAATTCAAGGACTAGGTCCTAACCAATGGCAGGGGTATATACAAAAACAAGTCAACCCCAGGCCATATAAGCAAAAAGCATCTGACTTTAATGTTGGGAGACTTTCCAGAGCATAATACATTTATTCATTCAAAATGTATTGGCTGTCAATTTCTTGAATGCCTTTCACTGCACTGGTGTGCTGATAAACTGGCTTTGGCTGCAGTGGTGACTAATTTGTAGCATTTACCGATTTCCATGGTGTAAACACTCCCACCATGGCCATTTTCAAGCTACTAATGTGATATAACTGAATGCAGAGTTGGGAAGACCTACACATAATCATCTCTCTTGAGCTGGTAGGAGTTGGCTAGTGGTAGGCAGGAGAGCCTACCACTGCCTGCCTCTAAGCCCTTAAGGATTCAGACCTGATTTGGTTCCTGTCCCCAGGTAATGCTAATCTAGTAGAACAGCCAAACATTTAAGCAAGATTGCAAGATAGTGTAGGAGGTACTAAAGCAAAGGTATACAAAGTGTAGGGA